GTCAGGTTTGACGTCAGGTTTGAGGTCAGGTGTGACGTCAGGTGTGACGTCAGGTTTGACATCAGGTCTGATGTCAGGTTTGAGGTCAGGTTTGACGCCAGGTTTGAGGTCAGGTTTAACGTCAGGTTTGACGTCAGGTTTGAGGTCAGGTTTGAGGTCAGGTTTGATGTCAGGTTTGACGTTAGGTTTGACGCCAGGTTTGAGGTCAGGTTTGAGGTCAGGTTTGTGGTCAGGTTTGAGGTCAGGTTTGAGGTCAGGTTTTACATCAGGTTTGACGTCAGGTGTGTGACGTCAGGTGTGACGTCAGGTTTGACGTCAGGTTTGACGTTAGGTTTGAGGTCTGGTTTGAGGTCAGGTTTGAGGTCAGGTTTGAGGTCAGGTTTGAGGTCAGGTTTGACGTCAGGTTTGACGTCAGGTGTGACGTCAGGTGTGACGTCAGGTTTGAGGTCAGGTTTGAGGTCAGGTTTGAGGTCAGGTTTGACGTCAGGTTTGACGTCAGGTTTGAGGTCAGTTTTGACGTCAGGTTTGACGTTAGGTGTGAGGTCAGGATTGACGTCAGGTTTGAGGTCAGGTTTGACGTCAGGATTGAGGTTAGGTTTGAGGTCAGGTTTGAGGTCAGGTTTGAGGTCAGGTTTGAGGTCAGGTTTGAGGTCAGGTTTGAGGCCAGGTTTGACGTCAGGTTTGATATTAGGTTTGACGTCAGGTTTGACGTCAGGTTTGAGGTCAGGTTTGAGGTCAGGTTTGAGGACAGGTTTGAGGTCAGGTTTCGGGTCAGGTTTGAGGTCAGGTTTGACGTCCGGTTTGACGCCAGGTTTGACGTTAGGTGTGACGTCAGGTTTGACGTCAGGTTTGACGTCAGGTTTGAGGACAGGTTTGAGGTCAGGTTTGACGTCAGGTTTGACGTTAGGTTTGACGTCAGGTGTGACGTCAGGTTTGACGTCAGGTTTGACGTCAGGTTTGAGGTCAGGTGTGACGTCAGGTGTGACGTCAGGTTTGACATCAGGTCTGATGTCAGGTTTGAGGTCAGGTTTGACGCCAGGTTTGACGCCAGGTTTGGGCCAGGATTGACGCCAGGTTTGAGGTCAGGTTTGACGTCAGGTTTGACGTCAGGTTTGATGCCAACGTCAGGTTTGAGGACAGGTTTGGGGTCAGGTTTGAGGTCAGGTTTGACGTCAGGTTTGAGGTCAGGTTTGACGTCAGGTTTGACGTCAGGTTTGAGGTCAGGTTTGAGGTCAGGTTTGACGTCAAGTTTGACGCCAGGTTTGAGGTCAGGTTTGAGGTCAGGTTTGAGGTCAGGTTTGAGGCCAGGTTTTAGGTCATGTTTGACGCCAGGTTTGAGGCCAGGATTGACGCCAGGTTTGAGGTCAGGTGTGACGCCAGGTTTGACGTCAGGTGTGACGCCAGGTTTGACGTCAGGTTTGATGTCAGGTTTGAGGACAGGTTTGAGGTCAGGTTTGAGGTCAGGTTTGACGTCAGGTTTGAGGTCAGGTTTGAGGTCAGGTTTGAGGTCAGGTTTGAGGACAGGTTTGAGGTCAGGTTTGAGGTCAGGTTTGACGTCAGGTCAGGTGTGAGGCCAGGTTTGAGGTCAGGTTTGAGGTCAGGTTTGAGGTCAGGTTTGACGTCAGGTGTGAGGTCAGGTTTGACGTCAGGTTTGACGCCAGGTTTGACGCCAGGTTTGAGGTCAGGTTTAACGTCAGGTTTGACGTCAGGTTTGACGTTAGGTTTGACGCCAGGTTTGAGGTCAGGTTTGAGGTCAGGTTTGAGGTCAGGTTTGACGTCAGGTTTGACGTCAGGTTTGACATCAGGTTTGACGTCAGGTGTGACGTCAGGTGTGACGTCAGGTTTGACGTCAGGTTTGACGTTAGGTTTGAGGTCAGGTTTGAGGTCAGGTTTGAGGTCAGGTTTGAGGTCAGGTTTGAGGTCAGGTTTGACGTCAGGTTTGACGTCAGGTGTGACGTCAGGTGTGACGTCAGGTTTGAGGTCAGGTTTGAGGTCAGGTTTGAGGTCAGGTTTGACGTCAGGTTTGACGTCAGGTTTGAGGTCAGTTTTGACGTCAGGTTTGACGTTAGGTGTGAGGTCAGGATTGACGTCAGGTTTGAGGTCAGGTTTGACGTCAGGATTGAGGTTAGGTTTGAGGTCAGGTTTGAGGTCAGGTTTGAGGTCAGGTTTGAGGTCAGGTTTGAGGTCAGGTTTGAGGCCAGGTTTGACGTCAGGTTTGATATTAGGTTTGACGTCAGGTTTGACGTCAGGTTTGAGGTCAGGTTTGAGGTCAGGTTTGAGGACAGGTTTGAGGTCAGGTTTCGGGTCAGGTTTGAGGTCAGGTTTGACGTCCGGTTTGACGCCAGGTTTGACGTTAGTTGTGACGTCAGGTTTGACGTCAGGTTTGACGTCAGGTTTGAGGACAGGTTTGAGGTCAGGTTTGACGTCAGGTTTGACGTTAGGTTTGACGTCAGGTGTGACGTCAGGTTTGACGTCAGGTTTGACGTCAGGTTTGAGGTCAGGTGTGACGTCAGGTGTGACGTCAGGTTTGACATCAGGTCTGATGTCAGGTTTGAGGTCAGGTTTGACGCCAGGTTTGAGGTCAGGTTTAACGTCAGGTTTGACGTCAGGTTTGAGGTCAGGTTTGAGGTCAGGTTTGATGTCAGGTTTGACGTTAGGTTTGACGCCAGGTTTGAGGTCAGGTTTGAGGTCAGGTTTGAGGTCAGGTTTGAGGTCAGGTTTGAGGTCAGGTTTGACATCAGGTTTGACGTCAGGTGTGTGACGTCAGGTGTGACGTCAGGTTTGACGTCAGGTTTGACGTTAGGTTTGAGGTCTGGTTTGAGGTCAGGTTTGAGGTCAGGTTTGAGGTCAGGTTTGAGGTCAGGTTTGACGTCAGGTTTGACGTCAGGTGTGACGTCAGGTGTGACGTCAGGTTTGAGGTCAGGTTTGAGGTCAGGTTTGAGGTCAGGTTTGACGTCAGGTTTGACGTCAGGTTTGAGGTCAGTTTTGACGTCAGGTTTGACGTTAGGTGTGAGGTCAGGATTGACGTCAGGTTTGAGGTCAGGTTTGACGTCAGGATTGAGGTTAGGTTTGAGGTCAGGTTTGAGGTCAGGTTTGAGGTCAGGTTTGAGGTCAGGTTTGAGGTCAGGTTTGAGGCCAGGTTTGACGTCAGGTTTGATATTAGGTTTGACGTCAGGTTTGACGTCAGGTTTGAGGTCAGGTTTGAGGTCAGGTTTGAGGACAGGTTTGAGGTCAGGTTTCGGGTCAGGTTTGAGGTCAGGTTTGACGTCCGGTTTGACGCCAGGTTTGACGTTAGGTGTGACGTCAGGTTTGACGTCAGGTTTGACGTCAGGTTTGAGGACAGGTTTGAGGTCAGGTTTGAGGTCAGGTTTGACGTTAGGTTTGACGTCAGGTGTGACGTCAGGTTTGACGTCAGGTTTGACGTCAGGTTTGAGGTCAGGTGTGACGTCAGGTGTGACGTCAGGTTTGACATCAGGTCTGATGTCAGGTTTGAGGTCAGGTTTGACGCCAGGTTTGAGGTCAGGTTTAACGTCAGGTTTGACGTCAGGTTTGAGGTCAGGTTTGAGGTCAGGTTTGATGTCAGGTTTGACGTTAGGTTTGACGCCAGGTTTGAGGTCAGGTTTGAGGTCAGGTTTGTGGTCAGGTTTGAGGTCAGGTTTGAGGTCAGGTTTTACATCAGGTTTGACGTCAGGTGTGTGACGTCAGGTGTGACGTCAGGTTTGACGTCAGGTTTGACGTTAGGTTTGAGGTCTGGTTTGAGGTCAGGTTTGAGGTCAGGTTTGAGGTCAGGTTTGAGGTCAGGTTTGACGTCAGGTTTGACGTCAGGTGTGACGTCAGGTGTGACGTCAGGTTTGAGGTCAGGTTTGAGGTCAGGTTTGAGGTCAGGTTTGACGTCAGGTTTGACGTCAGGTTTGAGGTCAGTTTTGACGTCAGGTTTGACGTTAGGTGTGAGGTCAGGATTGACGTCAGGTTTGAGGTCAGGTTTGACGTCAGGATTGAGGTTAGGTTTGAGGTCAGGTTTGAGGTCAGGTTTGAGGTCAGGTTTGAGGTCAGGTTTGAGGTCAGGTTTGAGGCCAGGTTTGACGTCAGGTTTGATATTAGGTTTGACGTCAGGTTTGACGTCAGGTTTGAGGTCAGGTTTGAGGTCAGGTTTGAGGACAGGTTTGAGGTCAGGTTTCGGGTCAGGTTTGAGGTCAGGTTTGACGTCCGGTTTGACGCCAGGTTTGACGTTAGGTGTGACGTCAGGTTTGACGTCAGGTTTGACGTCAGGTTTGAGGACAGGTTTGAGGTCAGGTTTGACGTCAGGTTTGACGTTAGGTTTGACGTCAGGTGTGACGTCAGGTTTGACGTCAGGTTTGACGTCAGGTTTGAGGTCAGGTGTGACGTCAGGTGTGACGTCAGGTTTGACATCAGGTCTGATGTCAGGTTTGAGGTCAGGTTTGACGCCAGGTTTGACGCCAGGTTTGGGCCAGGATTGACGCCAGGTTTGAGGTCAGGTTTGACGTCAGGTTTGACGTCAGGTTTGATGCCAACGTCAGGTTTGAGGACAGGTTTGGGGTCAGGTTTGAGGTCAGGTTTGACGTCAGGTTTGAGGTCAGGTTTGACGTCAGGTTTGACGTCAGGTTTGAGGTCAGGTTTGAGGTCAGGTTTGACGTCAGGTTTAAGGTCAGGTTTGAGGTCAGGTTTGACGTCAGGTTTGAGGTCAGGTTTGAGGTCAGGTTTGAGGTCAGGTTTGAGGACAGGTTTGAGGTCAGGTTTGACATCAGGTTTGACGTCAGGTTTGAAATCAGGTTTGGCGTCAGGTTTGAGGTCAGGTTTGAGGTCATGTTAGACATGAGATAGGATTGAAGTTGTTGATTCAGATTTATGAATGTGTGATAGGAAAGACGACGGATGGCACATACAAGCATTAAAAGGAAGAGAAACAAACAGGCAAGGGTGGAAGACGCGGAGTACAGGAGAAGGGGGCATGATGAATGTTACCGTGAGAAGAAGAGAAGTCATTTGTTGTGTCCCTTGCTACTGTTTCCTTCGAACGCCGCTCCCATGTTGACCACTCCTGCCAGAGGATAGGCAGGAAGAAGGAGATAGAGAGGTGAAATAGAGGAGTATTCACACAACAAAACTACAAGAGAAAGGCCAAGAAAAGGGCCGAAGGGACCCCAACAACAGAGCGCGGGAGTGGGAAGGGCAAACGAATGGAACTGAATGGGACGACTGGGACAACTGGAAATTAAGGTCGGAAAGTCACACTATGAGAAATGTCAGTCAATTTTGTACCTTTTCTACGCCCCTCCCATACTGCAGCCGAGTAGTTGACTTGGTACAGCTGCTGCTGCAGCTCCGCTGCTGCACACCACAGCACTCCGCTCTGTGCCATGGTTTCACTTGTCAACGCTGAGAAGGTCGTCTCTCGTGTGCTGCAACTACTGCTGCCACCACCACTGCTGCTGCTGTCCATGCTGCTGGTGCACGACAATAGGTGCTGCCATACGGGTCATGGGAGTGAGGAGAGCAGAGACAAGGAGAGGGCAGGAGAGGCATGGGATTTGAGTGCCGAGCAGAGGGGCATGAACATCTGGCAACAGAGTAGCAAAGACACATGGGCACTGTAGAAAGACGGCAGACAAGGCACAGGGGCTAAACAGAAAGACTAAGAATGGCGAAGAGGCTTACAAGTACTTGTGTGCTTGCCATCCTCCCGCAGTTGCTGCATCCACTTCCCCTTTGAGTGCTAGAGAGAGGGGAGGAAGGATGGCAAGGAAGAGGAAGAGAGGCGTGAGAGGAAGGAGATGGCAGATGGCAGCTGGAATGGGGACTGAGACAAGATGAAACGGAGAATGCATTTGCCCTGCTGCTGCATCTTCACTCTCGGTTACCTCTTGTCTTGGAGAAGCAAGCAGCGGATGTTGTCCCCATCCCACCGACGCACAGGCAAGTTCTCGAAGCACACCGCACTCCATGCCCTGGAGCCTGACCTGAGAGACACACCCACATGCACGCACATGCACACGCATGCACACAAGGACAGGCGCCGCCCCCCCACCCCACCCCCTCCGCTCCCCCTCCCCCCCTCTCACCCCCCCTCCCTCCTTTCCACCCCTCCCCTCCCCCCCCCCCCCGCGCCTCGCAATCATTGGGAGAGAAAACACAAACACAGAAGCGGCACAACAAGGGAGGGTTAGGAGCAACAGGATAGGAGGCGAGTGGCAGACACAAGAACAAGAGACACGACTCTTGCCTCTGCGCGGCGACACCCTACGACTCACTTCACGGCCCCCCTGCAAGCACCCCGTGGCACGTACCACCAAGGTTCAAAATTACGACCGTATTATTGAATTTTCACCGTATAATACGGAATCGTATAAAACGACCGTAAAATACGGTTTAATACGGTGGATTGTGGTTTTCTGTGTTTGGTTCAAAAATACGACCGTATAATTCGACCGAAAAATTGAAACCGGGTCTGTGTATATCGGGAATCATAGTGTCACACGCACGTTTCTCCCAACCGTGATTTTCTCTGACAACCGTACACGCGAATGTGCTTTTTTCCCGAGTCGCGAATGTCACGACTTTTTCGCGTCGCGACATTTGGGCATTTGGCGATGCCAATTTCGAAGTTACGTGTTTCGCCAACTCGTTGGCATCAGTCGCCGAAGCGGAACGTGTACAGTTTCCCGAGGCGCGACATTTTAACATGTGGCGAACGGTACTCATTCGACCCCACGTTTCGTGATTTCCGTTAAACATTTTCGCACGGCGGAGGTTTGGTTCGCTCGCAGTCGCGACACATCCAAAAGTCGCGATGCGAAACCAATCCAACCAATCAGAATACATCCCGTGAGCTCAACCTTTTCCCAAACTTACTCGACACAACACAACACGCCCAGCTTCCACGACGAGGTACTTAGGAGCTTGGTTTAGCCATTCGTAATCATATTCAAAGCATAGCTATAGTCTAGTCTTCAGGGTGCTCCACCAGGGTTCATGCCAGTCAAGACGTACGCCATGGCGAGGCAGAAATTGCCGCTGTGGAAGCATGTTACAACGACTAAGGGACCAGACGGCACCTTAACGGCGCAATGCGTACACTGTGGCGAATCCGTGACTGCTAATGCTACACGCATAGGAGAGCACATCTATGGGACGCCGAAGGACAAAGATAAGAATGTGACGCCGTGCACCCACGAAGTCGCCATCAAACTTCGCGAGGAAGCAGCAGCTGATGAGCCTTCTGGAAGCTCCACTCCGTCAATCCTTGGCTCCACTTCAACCCTAGACATCCAGCCCTCTCGCCGCACTCGACAGCGGGACATCCGCGACATGGTGGATGACTCTGCACGCGCTCGACTGGACTACCTATGGGCCGCTGCAGTGGCTGATAACGATTGGGCGTTCCACACGTCCAAGTCGCCAGCCGTGCAGAACTTCGTGGATGCGGCTGTTGTCTTCGGGAAACAATACACCCTCCCATCCCCCTTCAGGGTTTCTGGTGTTTTGCTTCAAAAACTGGTAGCGGATACCGAGGACCTTGTAAAGCCCCTGAAGGAGAGTTGGAACACTAGCGGCTGCACCATCTCCGTGGACGGCTGGACCTGCATGAAGAGCCGTGGGCTCGTGTGTGTCATAGCCCACAATGACACTGCGCCTGTCATCGTGAAGACCGTGGACTCCAAGACCGCGAAGAAGACGGGGAGTACTTGGCCGGCCTCATCCGGACCTCGATCGCCGAGGTTGGAGACAAGAAGGTGGTGCAGGTGGTCATGGACAATGCGTCCAACAACCGTAGGGCGGCCGACATCCTCCGGGACGGTTTTCCTGCAGTGTTTTTCAACAACTGCGCGGCGCACGTCCTGGACCTGATGCTCCACGACATCGGGAAGGTCCGTGCTGTGCGGCGAGTGCTCAACCAGGTGCACAGGGTGGTTATGATCGTCAAGGGAAGCGCGTCTGCCGTCACGCTCTTCCACGAGTTGTTTAGCACTTTGTCCTTGGTGCGGCCCGGTGCAACATGCTTCGGCACGCAGGTTATCATGCTTACCCGCTTCCTGGAAGTAAAGAAAGCGCTCAAGGAGATGATCATCAGTGAGGAGTGGGAGTCGGTGGCGGTGGCGCGGTCTGAGGAGGGGCGAGCTGTCCGCCAGCTCCTCTTGGATGAGGTCTTTTGGGAGTGCGCGACAGCGGTCCTCCGCCTCATGACACCCGTGTATGAAGTGCTGCGGGTGGTTGACACCCGTGCTCTAGTCATGGGCCAAATCTATGGCCTCATGCTAGACGCCACGGTGAAGACAAACAATGCGGCAGAGGCGGCAGGTAAGCTGTGAATTGCCGCACGTTCTGGCTATTGTATACCCTTCCCGCCAATTGTGCTCACCTTGTGCTCTCCGGTTCTCCCCATGGGCAGCCAAAATGATGCTGAAACGCACCGCTCTCTTGCCGGCCAAAGACAAGCCGGCCTTTCTGGCCGCCATCAAGGCTATCATAGCAAGGAGGTGGGACGCCCAGCTCCACAATCCACTCCATGCTATGGGGTGGCTTCTGAACCCGCGCAATCAGTACGGTAAAGAGGTGAAGAACGATCCCGAGGTAAGGCTTGGGGCGGAAGCGGTGATCCAGGCCCGTTGGGGGGACGTCGCTCAACGCGCGCTGCTGTTGGCGCAGTTGACGCAATTTCATAAAGGAGAGGGGCTGATAGGGTCCGATGATGCCCGTTGGGCAGCAACGGTGTTGGTGGCGAGTGGGCGCTTGACGGAGGCAGAGTGGTGGCTGATGTATGGGGGGGAATTGCGAGCGCTCATGGGGATGGCTGTGACGGTGCTGTCACAGCCAGTCACGTCTTCTGAGGTCGAACGCTACTGGTCCGCCATTGCACGGGTGCAGAGGCGGGACCATAACCGCCTCAGTGCCAAGAAGATGATGGACGTGACTGAGGTGGCGTTCGCCAGGAGGGCCAGGGATGCTTTCGATAGGAAATCATGGCAGAGGGAGAAGCTTTATGCCGATCTGGCCAACGGCACCCTCCAGCAAGGGAGTGCCGTTGAACCGGCAGCAGCAGAGGAAGAGGAAGTGGGGGACGACGAGGAGGAGGGAGAGGGGAATGAGCAGCTATGCACCATTGATTGGGACCTATTCGGGAACATTGGGAAGCGGAAGAAGAAGGGGCCTAAGACCGCTAAGAGGAAGAGAAACGGGAAGGCCAAGAAGCCTACCAAGGGAAGGAGGAAGGCAACATCTGTGCGAGAGGAAGAGGGTGAGGAGGAGGAGGCGGCGGATAGCAGTGGAGGAGGAGGAGGAGGAGGACGAGTAGAGAAGATAGAAGGTTACAGGTTGGAGGAGGAGAGAGAGATAGGGAAGGATAGGATAGGGTAGGAGGAGTAAAGTAAAGAGTAGTGGACGGTGCGGTATTAGTGGGAATGGAGAGTAGTGTTGTAACCATCTGTTCTGAGGTTATGCTAGGCTAATGTAGTGTGTACCTTTCACAACCTTGCTACGGGAAAAAAAAAAAAAAAAAAAAAAAACCCGGAAAAACAGTCTATCAAAAATACGGCGTATTTTTTAATATTTGGCCGTAAAAAACGACCGTATTATACGGACCGTATAATACGATAGCCGTAATTTTGATCCTTGCGTACCACGCTCCGTCTGCCACTCGCCCACTCCTGCGCCATGCCTTCACTTGAGGTGCCACCATTGCTCTCCGTTTTGCAGGCCACGAGGCACACACACACACATGGGGAGAGAGAGACACACACACAGAAGTAGCAAAACAAAGGAGGGTTAGAAGCAGCAGGTGGCGAGTGGTGGACCCGCAAGCAACAGACACGACTCTTGCCTCTGCGCGGCGACGCCTACGACTCACTTCACAGCCCCCCTGCAAGCACCCCCTGGCACGTACCATGCTCCCTTCGCTGCTCTCCCACTCCTGCGCCACGCCCTCACTTCAGGCGTGGTGCTCCAGGCGTGGTGCTCCTGCTGTGTTGGTCTGATATTCCTTGCGTGCTGGCCTGCCCATCATCCTGGCCAGGGAGGGGGGAGTGAGATGAAGAGATCATGATATTTGCATTCAGTAAAACGATAGGAGTGGCATGAAGATCTGGCAAGACAGCAGAAAAGAGATGTGGCCGCCATGCGGAAATGGTAGACATGACCGAACTGCACACGAGAACGCAAGAACACAGAGAATGGAGAGGCGGTGTACTGGTTGGTCTGATGGACTCACAACTCCTTGTGTGCTGGCCATCATCCCGCAGCTGTTGCAGCCACTGGTGATCCCTGCGTTGCTGCAGCCACTGGTGGTGATCAGTGCCCCTCGAGTGCTGGAGGTGAGGCGAGGAAGGAAGGCAAGGAAGAGGAAGCGAGGCCTGAGCAAGAAGAGACAAGCGAGTGGATGAGATAGCAGACGAAGGCTGGAGAAGGGACTGAGATAGAATGCCATGCACGCATCCGGGTTACCTCCTCGCTGAATGGTTGCCTCTCGTCCATTCCCCGTCCGCTCCCCCTCCGTCTCGCAGGCCGTGAGGAACACACACGCTGGAGTAGCGTGCTACTCCAGGCTGCGCTGCTGCTGCTGCGCCAAGCCTTCGTTCCAAGCAGTGGCTGGAAGAAGCTAGCAGGAGAATCATGGCGCCGTTCCTCCTCGCTGGATGGTTGCCTCTCGTCCATTCCCCGTCCGCTCCCTCCCCCTCCGTCTCGTAGGCCGTGAGGAACACACACGCACGAGGAAAGAGACAGCCACACAGAAGCGATGCAACAAGGGAGGGTTAAAAGCAGCAGGAGAGGAGGCGAGTGGTGGAGGCAAAAGCAACAGACACGACTCTTGCCTCTGCGCGGCGACGCCCTACGACCCACTTCATGGCCCCCCAGCTAGCACCCCCTGGCACGTACCATGCTCCGTGTGCCACCCTGCCGCTCTGCGTGCAGCACGCCTTCTCTGCTAGCGTGCTACTCCTGGCTGCTCTCTTGCTGCTGCGCCAAACCTTCGCTCCAAGCAGCGCCCTGCCGCTGCCCGTGCTCCTGGTTGCTCCAATGCCGCTGCTGCTACTGCTGCAGTCGCAACCACCGGTCGCTGCAAAGAGGAGGAGAGGACAGGAGAGGGGTTAGGGAGCCGAGGAGAGTGGCACGGACATCTGAAAGCACCGCAGCACAAACTCATGGCACATGGACAAATGGTGGACAGGAGAGAACGGAGCACGGAAAGCAGAAAGAAGGAGATGACAGGAGAGGGGTTAGGGAGGTGAGGAGAGGCACGAACATTTGAGGAGAGGAGTTAGGGAGGTGAGGAGAGTGGCCCGAACATCTGACGGCACCGCGCTGCACAGACTCATTGCACGTGGACAAATGGTAGACAGGGGAGAACGGAACACGGAAAGCAGGAAGATGGTGAAAAGTGAAGTGGTGAATTGCTTGACCTGATCCACCCACAACCTCTTGTGTGCCCTAATCCTCCCTCCCCCCTTTCTGTGCCATCATCCTGCAGTCGCTGCAGCCACTGGTGATCCCCGCTGCCACTCGCTGCCACCCCCCTCCGCCTCGCAGGACATGAGGCACACACACGCATGGACAGAGAGACACACACAGAAGCGGGACAACAAGGGAGGATTAGGAGCAGCAGGAGAAGAGGCGAGTGGCAGAAACTAGAACAAGAGACACGACTCTTGCCTCTGCGCGGCGACGCTCTACGATTCACGGCCCCCCTGCAAGCACCCCCTGGCACGTACCACTCTTGCACCATGCCTTCACTTCAGGCGTGCTGCTCCAGGTTGCTCCCCTTTCTCCCCTTTCTCCCCTTTCTCCTCGCAGGACAGTCGTCTCTCGTGCAAGCCAGCAACGGCAGCCGTGTCGATTCCCCGTCCACTTGCTGCCACTCCCGTCCGCCTTGCAGGCCATGAGGCACACACACGCACGCACGGGGAGAGGGACACGCACACACACACACAGGCGGTGCAACAAGTGATGGTCAGAAGCAGCAGGAGGCGAGTGGCGGAAGAAAGGGCAAGAGACACGACACTTGCCTCTGCGCGGCGACACCCTACGACTCAATCCACGCCCCCCCTGCAAGCACCCCTGGCACGTACCATGCTCCAGCTGAATGTTTTCCCCTACTTGGCGGAATCTGCAGCTCCTTCAGCCCAAGAAGCACCCTGCTGCGGCCCGCGCCCCAGGCTCCAAGCGTGGTGTGCTGTTGATACCTGCAACAGGAGGGGTCTGTGGCTTATGAGTTGAGCCAGTGGCGATACTTCAAGGAGAAAGCAGTGAACCACATGCAATACAAGTGATAAGCCCTTGGCATCACACAAGGTAAAGCGTTCCGAGGAGAAAATACTTGGCTGAAAAAACAAGCGCCGTTGCTACTGCTGCTGCGACTCACCAGCGCTGCTGTTGTGTCGTCGCACCAGTGCAGGAACGGAGCCCGCAAGCTTGTCACCCCTCCCGTGCACTCCCTGCCATTCCCCTCCGTCTTGCAGGCCGTGAAGCACACACACGCGAGGGGAGAGACGCACGCACACAGAAACAGAGCAACAAGGGAGGGTTACACGCAGCAGGAGAGGCGGCAAATGGTGGAGGGAAACGGAAACAGACACGACTCTTGCCTATGCGCGGCGACGCCCTACGACTCACTTCACGGCCCCCCTGCAAGTACACCGTGGTACGTACCCCGCTCCGACCAGTGCTCTCCCATTACCGACCAGCCCTAGTTGTCTCTCGTGTGTGAGCCAGCACTGGGAGCTTGTCCATTCCCGTCCATCTCGCGGGCCGTGAGGCATACACACGCATGGGGAGAGAGACACACACAAACACAGAAACGGTGCAAAATGAGAGGGTTAGAAGCAGCAACAGGAGAGTGGTGGACGGAAAGGCAAGAGACACGACTCTTGCCTCTGCGCGGCGACGCTCTATGACTCACTACACTGCCCCCCTACAAGCACCCCCTGGTACATACCACGCGACCGCCACTGTGTCTCTGCCTTGTGACGAGCCACTGTGCCGTTGCTAACCCTTCTCCTCGCTGCACGGTTGTCTCTCGTGCGAGCCTGCAACGAAAGCCCTGTCCACTCCGCACCAATCTGCGTCCATTCCGCGTCATTCCGCGTCCATTCCGTGTCATTTCCCTCCGTCTCACAGGCCGTAAGGCACACACACGCATGGAGAGAGAGACGCACACGAAAACGGCGCAACAAGGGGCAGTTAGAAGCAGGAGGAAAGGAGGCGAATGGTAAAGGCAAGGAAAACAGACGACTGTTGCCTCTGCGCGGCGACGCTCTACGCTACTTCAATGCCCCCCCGCAAGCACCCCCTGGCACGCACCATGCTCCGTCAACCACTCCTGTGCCCCGTCTTCACTTCAGGCGAGCCAGCAACGGAAGTCCCGTCCATTCCGCGTCCGCTCCTCGCCATTCCGCGTCCACTCCGCGCCATTCCGCGTCCACCTCGCAGGCCGTGAGGCACACATAAGCATGGGGAGGGAAGCACGCACACACAAGCGGCGCAATAGGAAGGGTTAGAAGCAACACGAGAGAAGGCGAGCGGCAAAGACAAGAACACGAGACACGACTCTTGCCTCTGCGCGGCGACGCTCTACGACTCACCTCACTACCCCCCTGCAAGCACCCTCTGGCACGTACCACGTTCGTTTGCTACTCCTGCGCCTTCCCTTCACTTCAGACGCGTGCTGCTCTTGGTTGCTCGGTTGCTGCTGTTTCTGCTGCAGTCGTTGCTCTCGTCGCGACCGCTACCTCGTCGCCACGTATGACCGCGCAAATAGCAGCGACGTCGCTTTTCTGATGGAAACAGCAGCAACGCTGCTCTGACGGCGGAAAAGACAGTATAACGGAAGCAGCAGCAACGCCGTTCTGGCGGCGGGAATAGCAGCGCCTTTGCTTCGACGACGGAAACAGCAGCACGTCGCCGGGCGAAACGATAGTAACGGCGGAAATAGCAGCGACTTGGCTTCGATGGCGGCGGAAGCAGCAGGGACGTCGCTTCGACTTCGGAAATAGCAGCAACGTTGAAATGCCATTTGACGGCGAAAACGTCAGATATGTTTTGTAGACGCCGGAAACCGCAGTTAAAGTTCTTTTGACGGCAGGACCAACAGTGACGTCGCTTTGCCGGCGGAACCAGCAGGACGGCTATTGCAACGAAAACGTCGCTTTTCTAGCAAAAATAAGGGCTACGTCGCCTTGATGACGTCAACAGCAACGACGATGCATTGACGGCGGATGACGTAAAAGGCAGCGACGTTGCCCGTGTTCAACTGATCGCTGCACCTGCTGCTGCTGCAGACGTTGCTCCCGTCTCGTCGTGACCAGCACTGCGTCGTTGCCTCTGACGCTCGTTGCTCCAACGGTTGCTGCTGCGCCACGTGTTCCAAGCAGCATGCTGCTGCTTCCCGTGTTCCAGGTTGATCCGTCGCTGCTCATGCTGCTGCTGCAGCAGTCGTTGCTCTCGTCTCGTCGCGGTCAGAGCAACGCCGGGCTCATACGTCTGTATCGTTGTGTTTACAGCGAAAGCAGCAGGTACGTCGCTTTGTTCGCGGAAGTGGCATCAACGTTGGCTTGACGACGAGAAGAGCAGCACCGTCGCTTTGACGGAAAAAACGTCAGGTAAGTTTGAGACGTCAGCTATGTTTGAAACGTCAGTTATGTTTAAAACGTCAGCTATGTTCAAAACGTCAGCTTCAAAACAACTACGCCCTAAACGTCGCTTTGAACGACGGAAACCGAAGTTGAAGTTGTTATGACGGCAGCAACAGCATCGACGTCACTTTGTCGGCAGAAGCAGCAGCTAAAATTCGATAGCTATAGCAGTGACGACGCCTATTCTGGTAAATTTCGATACCTATATAACGGGTGCGTCGTTTTAATGAACTGCAGCGACGCTGAATAACGTCTGAACTAGCAGCTTAGCTCGGTATCAGCTTAGCTACTTCACAACGTCCTAACTATATTCGGCTAAGAAAGACATAGATTCATTGATTGGCAGACCGAGTCGCGTCAACTAACCGCAATCGTTAGGTTAGTGCAGGTAGTTAGGGCTAG